GAGAGAAAGAATGGAAGCAACCCTGACTCTAAGGGTTTCCATCTGAGCAGTTATTAAATACTTACATACTATTTCAGTAAATCAGTGTGCCAGACTCTAGTCTAAGCACTTTGCCAATCACAACCCACTTAATTCTCATAACAACCCTATGAGATAGACGTTATTAGCACTACCATTTTATAGATGAGGAACTTGACGCACAGATTGCTTAAATGACTTGTGCAAGGTCCCAGTGAATGTTGTTGCCATTAATTGAGATGGATCAGTGTAGGAGTGGAACATATTTGGAGCAGGGTTAGGAGTTGGTTTTCTACTTTTTTGGGGTCTAGAAACCACTAAGTACCCACCTGTCCAGGCTCAGTCCACCTTTGCTTTCAGCTGGTATTAGTCCATGGTATACACTTGTTACCTCCAGGGGTTACTCTAGATTGGCACCAGGGCTCTCACAGCTTGGTCTTCCACTGGAGATAGTGGTATGCTGGCAAATATTTACCAGTCCCTCAGGGAAAAAAAGTCACTTTTGCTGAATATTTGCTGATTTCTGTGGTGTAAATATTCGAACCATAGCCAATTTCAAACGTGATTTTATTGAATGTGGAATTTGGAAGGGGTGCACACAATCTGCCCTCAGCTGTAGCATATGACTAACTGGAAACTCTACAATAATTTTCAAGTGCTAGTGAACATCTAGCATTGGTAGTTTGGGGCTCCCAAATGAGAAGGAGAATATGGTTGGAAATGTAGCCTAAGCAGTTGGGAAAAATAATTTAGACTTGAACTAGTGATTGAAGTATAGATAATAAGGCAAGAATAGACAGAACAAATCCAAGGATATGAAATAACAAAGGGGCTACCTAATTATAGGAGAGTGAAATGGTTGAAATAGTGATTCTCGTTTGATGGCACAGGGGTCCAGGGAAGAGATGACTAGGATGTAAAACTGAAGAGTCTTCAAAGTCAGGTCGGTCAATCAGAAGTTTCCGGAGGAAGTAGAGGAAGAAATCCAGTCAATGTAGAAAAGAGGCGCCAGGGATCTATAACAGCAGATCTACGACAGCAGGCATAGAAGAAATACTCGAGCATAGTGTTTTGCCAAATGATTGCTTCTACAAACCATCTGCTTCTGAATCTCTGGGAGGCATTTAAAAAAATATTTCTGACTCAGTGTGTCTGGGCTGGGTCAAGGAAATGTATGCTTCTTAAAAGCTCCGTTAAGTGATTTATATATAATACCACGTTGAGGAACCTGGTAAAAATCAAAGCCAGAGGAGTCAAGATATCAGAGTCCCAAGAACAAATAAAAGACTCCTAACTATGAGATTAAACTTTAGGCCCAGAACAGCAATGCCTTAAAGAAACAGGACACAGATAACACAGCAGCCATGTAAATGGGATACAGAAGAAGGAACTGATGCTGAGACCTGAAGACCAAGGGACATGTTAGGCATCCTTAGCAAAAGTTCACAAAGAATCTTGTACACATCACCAAGAAGTTTTTAACTTCTTGGCAATGGGTGCCAAAAGAAAATTTTATTCCAGGAAACGATATGAACATTTTATCTTCACAGTAGGATGGAGGATAAAATACAAAGAAATAAGACTGGAAGTAAGAAAACTAATTAAAGAGGCAAATCAAGCAAAAGATAATGAAGGCATGAACAAAGCAGTGTCAGTAGGGATGGAATAGTGAGGTTAGTTTTAGAAATATTTTAGCTTTAGAACTAGCATAGGTTATCTGATTGGATATGGAGACAGAGGGATAGGGAGAAATTGACAATAATTCCCGTTCTTCTGGATATAGTGAGGGAAGGATAGGGAGAAACTGAAGAGAGTTCCCGCAGGTCCAAGTAGGGTGATTCAGTAAACAGTGTCAATCAGGGAGACAGACATCTAAGAAGAAAAAGATAAGCAAGTGTGTATTCATCATTACTCTCGATTGCAAATGAGAGAAAATAACTGGCTTAGGCAAAAAGTGGTTTTTCTTGCTGCATGGAAACTGAGAAAGGCTTAAACCAACGATGGTGTAGTGGACTATGGTAGCTATAGTGTTCTTTCCTCAGAATGTATTTTAATATCCCTTCCAATAACAGTTTTTGTGTTTTGAGTACAGCTATTTCTGACCTATGCACAGACATAAAAGTACCATATGAGCCATGTCTGGCCAGTCTGATTTCCCCATGCTTTTGGCCAGAATCACTCAGAGGTGGTCATGAGACCTCAGCTAAGCCAATCAGGGACCTTCATGAGACTTTGCCGTTAAAGCTAGCAGAGACTTTTCCCCTAGAGCTTTTGTCTTTGGGGTCACCATCTAGGAAGGATGAAAGACTGGAGCAACTTGCAACACTCCTCCTCAGCCCCGTAGAAAAAGTCTAACTGCATGAAGTCCAGTTGAGACCAGCTCAAAAGCTGAGACAAGCCGAGATGCGAGTGGATAAAAAGAAAGACCTAGCAGTTCTGAAGCATCTGTTCTGGGCATCAGTAGAGGCCTGGTCAATGCAGTTATTTCTGTGATCATGTCACTTACTTCAATATCCTTCCCAACCACATGAGAAAATATGTTCCTTTTTTCTCCCTTAGGCTAGTTAGCAATGGGTCTCTGTAAAATAAAGTATAAGATTTTCTGTTAATACCTGCCGAAAAGCTAGAGATACAACTGAGCCTCAGGAAAAACTAGATCCAGGGACTGCAATATCACCAGAATCTAGCCCTCCAGCTTTCACGTCTACTTTGCTCTGTATATTGGTTTCATTCTCTCTCACTACCGACTACTTTCCTTTACATAGTTGGAAATGTGGCTACCAACAGCTCCCTATTTTACTTCTCATAGGTTCTATCTCTATTTTTGAACTTAGTTCTATCTCTATTTCTGAACTGGGTTCTATCTCTATTTTTGAACTTCGAAGCACAGAGAGTAAAAGTCAGTTTTACTTTCTGTGCTTCCAAATTCAAAAATACTACAGAAAAGATTCTAATCGACCTACCTTGTGTCATATAATAGATCAATGAATTATAATCAGGGTTTTAAAATACTACAATTAGCTTAGCTTGGGCCAGGTTGACATTGTGGGGACCTGGAATTGGCCACCCCAAGATATGTCTCTTTGGCATCAGGATTATTTGAGGCTGATTGCTTTTGATAAACTGGGACAGGGAAGGAGGCTCTGAGGAATGGAACTTGCCCTTTGTTAGGACACATTTACATTTGTAAGGTAAATCTCTATCTGTAAAAGGTGCCTCCCTCTCTGTACCAGGAAGAAGAAAGGAGATGACCTTCTCTCTAAAAAACTCTTAATCAATACCAAAGGCAAGGACTTAAAATCTGCATTTTATTGTGCTAGTCTGGTAACCTCCTGTAACTGACTTCCCTCCCCCTCCCAACGTTGGCATTTCTTAAGGATTAAGCATCTTTCCTTAGGCTAGGAACTGATTGCTGCGCTCACCTGTGACCACCCAGCTCAAGACAATAGACTTGCCTCCTGCTACGCCCACCGAGATAGCAGAACCACTACCTGCTGTGTCCATCAAGCACTCTGCTGACAGGGCAATCTTGTGACTATTGTGGGAGGGACATTTCAATCACATGTGAAACACCCTGTTTGGGGGTATATAACCACTCTGTGCACCCCACTTCTTCGGTGCCCTTTCTTCCTTCGGGAAGAAAGGCCCCGGGCCATGGTTCCTCATAAAGCTTTGTTTTATTTTCTCTTGCTATTCTGTCTCATGTGAATTTAATTCATTCTCCGGCCAGACGAACCCCCATTTGGGAAGAGGAAATCTCCTCCTCCCCTACAACATCCCTGAACCAATCAAATGAGGCCAGTGGGATAGACTCACGTAAAAAAGTAGCAATGCTGGAGGAAACAGTAGAGTTAGAGCATGGAGGGGAATAATCCCAAGAAGAAGGGAAGTGCTATTCCCAGAAGAAGGGCAAACATAGCCATAGATGTCCGTTACTGGAAAGATAACGTGTTAAACGTGTTGAATTTGGGCCCTGGGAAGGGCCAAAAGGAGGCCTAGGAAATGTGGTGAGTTAAAATGATTGCTGAAGTCTATAAGAGAAAATTTATGCATATAATTGATTCTGATAAACAGGCCATTTCAAACTCTAAACGTCCAATTCTATATATAATTTTACCTCAAGATCACCTGCAAAACTAGTTTCCAAAACAATTTTGCACACTTTACAATGGTCGTGTGCTGTAGTAGAGTGGATATTGTGAAGTAAGAGAAGAGAAAGGATGTGAATCACAGAGGCAGGACCTTAAGAGCAAAAATCCTGATCTATGCTTCTCCCCTACTGGGCAGGAGATGATGCCATGAACTGGCAGAGCTCAGGACCCCAAGATTTTTGATCTGGGCAATTGGAATAACGGGACTGACTGAGAAGGGGACTATTATGAGTAGGGCAGGTTTCGGGTAAATTTGAGTTTTCTCTCAGGTATTTAAGTGGCGATGTCAAGTAAACTATAGAAATATTAGGAACTGGATTTTAGAAGAGCAATCTGGGCATTCCAATACCAAGAGGTCAGGAATTAAAGGAGGAACCATCTGTAGTGCAAACGCAGACGGCTGGCTTTTGTTTTTGTAATGCAAGCGCCTGGTTTAGCTTTGATTGCAAAGGCATCCACTTCAAAGAGGCATCCACTTCAAAGATGGCTATCTCGGATAAACACGCTGCCAGCCGGGGGACTAGATAAAGGGCCCCACCCTCCCACCCTCAGGCTCCTTTATTTTAGAGATCTTGGTTGATTTCGAAAACTGACCATTTCAGCCGCTTGTTTCTTTCTCTTCCTGTGCTTTAAATTCCTGCTCTTATGTTTTAAATTCACCAGTATAGAGAGAGTCCCAGAAACCCTAGGCCCCACCCTCCACCTCAATAAAAGCAGAACTCCAGGCCGGTGCTTTCGCATCCTCCCCTCCCCCGAGACCTCATTGTGTTGCCCCAGGTGTGCCATGTAATTTCCAGGACCTGTAATAATAAACCTCTTGTTTTTTTTCAGTTTCCTGATGGTTATTGCTGAGGGTGTCTTGCAATCACAATAAGAACTACAAGGGCCAGTCCAGCCACAACATTGGTTATCGATCGGCTGAGACCCGCACAAAACACCAACCAAGCAGATTAATAAAGGAGCCTTCAGAGTATAAGAGAAAAACCAGGAGAACGTGGTGTTCTGGAAGCCATATGAGTGAAAAACATCAAAGAGAAGGGAAAAATCAACTGTGACAGATGCTGCTGAAGGGTCACATAAATAACGACAGAGAATTAACTGTTGGATTTAGCAATGTGGCTGCCATTGGTGATTTTGACAGTTTCCATGGATTGATGGGAGCAAAAGGCAAGAGTTATACTTTAGCCATGAATGCCAGCAGGAAAGACAGAAATTAAGTGGGACACTGTCCTGGAAACTAGAGGATGCATGGACATAGCACCTTAGGACTCTGACTCTTCCGTGTTCATAACGTTCCATAAACCATACCCCTTCCTCTATACACAGGGACACCTGAGGGAGATATTCGAGGATTGGGGGATTGATAAACTGAGCACTATTTATGGTTTTTATTTTGCCAAGAAAGGCTGAGTATTAAAACTTCTGTTTAAATGAACAAATCAGACTAAGTTTTAAATCAAAGTTAATGTTTTTGCTTCTTATCAGCAGGTGGGGAGAAAGACCAAATCTTCTAAAAACAAAACTAAAGTAACTATATTTTATCCTCATATTGGATTTGTCGCCTGTGTTAAGTGTTGACTCTTACTGGGTCCAATTTTCATTACAATTTTTTTCCAGATTTATTGAGGTATAATTGAGAAATAAAAATTGTACATATGTAAGGTGTACGTGATGATTTGATATACTGACCATATACATTATGAAATGATTACCACAATCAAGCTAATTAGCATATCCATCATCTCACATAGTTACCCTTTTGCATGTGTGTGATAAGAACACTTAAAATCTACTTTTTTAGCAGAATTTTAAATATTCCATACAGTATTATTAAATCTAGTCACCATGCTGTACTTGAGATCCCCAGAGCTTACTCATCATATAGCTGATAGTTTGTATGCTTTGACCAACATCTCCCCATGTCCCCCACCCCTCACCCCTGACAATCGCCATTCTACGCTCTGCTTCTATGAGTTTGACTTTTTAGATTCCATGTATAAAGAAGATCATGCAGTTTTATTCTTCTGCGACTGGCTTATTTCACTTAGCATAATGTCCTCCAGGTTCATCCATGTTGTCTCAAATGACAGGATTTCCTTTTTTGTTATGGATGAATAATATACCATTATAATACATATAGTAACATTGCATTATATACCACATTTTCTTTATCCATTCATCTGTCAGTGGACACTTAGGTTGTTTCCCTATCTTGGCTATGCTGCAATGAACATGACAGTGCAGATATTTCTTTGAGATACTGATTTCATTTCCTTTGGAAATATTCCCAGAAATGGGATTGCTGGATCCATTATAAATTTTCATTAATAAACTTCCCACAGCAGATCTGTAGCTAATGGTTGACATTTTTTTTCACATATATCTAACCTTTTTCTAATGATTATTTGGCAACTGTAAAGCTGTCTCTTACTAGTGGTTTTGGTCCATGAAAGTGAATAATATCCAGGTGAGAGCCTAATGGGAGACATCAATATGTCAAGTTTGAAAATGAGACATCCACTTGAAAAGTATAAAGGTAATGGAAACAGAGTCAAATTAAGAGGACTCAAAAGTCAGAAACAAAAAAAGTAAAGACATAGTTGATTGGCAGTGGATGAAGGAGGCTTTGAGAATTTTTGAACATGCATGTCAAGACATAGATACATGCTTCATGGATTTTTTTTTACTTGCTTCAGATATTTACTCGCATGTGTGTTTCAGGTCTATTTAAAGAGATCAGAATGAGGCATATATTTCATCATATTTTGGAAAGTATATTAAGAATTAATCACCCAAGCATTGAAATCAGATGGATTTTGCCTTAAGAACTGGCACTACCACTTATTAGCCACGTGAATCTGAGCAAGTTACTCTTTGAACCTCGCTCATTGTCCTCAACCATAAAATGGAGATAAGGGCAACATATAACTCACTAAGCTGTTCTGAGAATTGAACGGGATAATGCAGATAAAGACCTTCATGCAGTCCCTGCCCATAGTGGAGGATCATTAATTATTAGTTGTTATTAGTGTTAATGTACACCATCCAGAAGGCATTCTTTTAGAGCCCCATCAATATCTTTCTTTCCTCACTTATCTCTCCACCCCAATAAAAGCCCTCAGTAGATCTCATCAATAATGCTCTCATCAGCACCCTCAATGACCTTTCTCCTCTGTCCTTCCGCCACAGGTATAATGTTGGCTCGCCCTGTGAATCCACTGACTAGAAACGCTGTTGAAGAAAAATCACATACTTATGCCAAAAAGCAAGGTATGAGAGCATACGTGTATGCTCCTTTGTGCTCCTTGGAGGGAGTGTTAAAGATTTCTTATGCAATAGGATATCCTGGCTAAGATAGAACTGGAGAGATTTTAAATTTTTGATGGGTAAAATCAAGTAAAAACTTTTAATTAAATGTGGCACTATGAAAAATTTTTGATCTCTAAAGATGGGGACTTTAAATTATCCAGATGTGCTGTTCCCTTGTTTTTTGAAAATCAGCAGACAAGCCCTTTAACTATCCAAATTTAAGGCAAGTCTTTGTTCTCAACAAAGTTGTGATCTGTGGGCTGAACTTAAGTGTTGTGGTTTGATTAGTCATCATGTAAAGTAGAATCGGAGAAAGATCTCTGAGAATATTGACTTCAATTCTTTTATTACAATTATTGTTATTATTATTATTGGTTGATTTGTTTCTTTGATTTTGTTTTCTTTTGTTTGTTATATGTTTTGAGGCATAGAAGACAGAAGCAGATTTACTGAGAGACTGAGCATGAACAGAACTGCTCCAAGACCCAGAAGACATCACAGTGAGGAGAGACTTCCTCTGAGATTCTTATAGAATCCAACAGTGCTCTGCTCCCTCGGGGGGCTGCAGCTATGGGAACATGGGTATGGTGCCACATACCCATCAGTCATAGCAACAGGAGAGCTTCTTCAAACTACTTTGATGGTAGTGACGTTAGCCTGAGGAAGCCAGAACCAGAAAGGAAGAATATGAAGATGTCACACTGGGAGTGTGGGCACCTGTGAGGCCTCCCTTTGGAGACCGGCAGACATAATTGCAAGACACTTGCATGCTGAGGTCTTGTAAACATACTGCTGGAGGCATTGTAATTCGGGCATTAATAATAAAAGAGGTCTAATTTATATACATAGACTGGCAAGCATTTCTTCCAATCTCTTTATATTACAAATTTTTAAAAACGAGATGCAAACTCCTTAAGCATCTTGACCAAGATTTCCCAGGAAGGTACAGTGACTTATGCATCAATATTTTGGACTATATTAAGTTATAATAAAATAGACTAAGAAAATAAAAATCTTCCCCACCATTCATCAGCCCAGAATCAGAATCGCAGATAAAGCCAGGTGCAAATTTATCAGCAAACAATATTTCTCTCAAATACACTGTCAGGGAAGTGGGAGAAATCCCCCCTGCTTTTCCTTACGGTTCTTACGGCTGGTCAAATAATCAAAGAGGCAGGTTTGCAAGAGAAAATAAAACCAAATTTAATAGCATGTATGCATGGGTGAAACCCAGAGGAAACTGAGTAACTCAGCCATCTGGCTGATTCTGCCTGTTTAAGTATCCTCAGCTACAGGCAAGGACACAGTGATCTGGGACTTCAAAGGGCTGGAAGACAATTTACATAGAGATGGAGTGCAAATGTTTGTTAAACAGGTTTTGCTAGGCCCAGAAAATGGGTTTCTTGGCGTCCTTTTATCACACCTATTTTACATCATACTGTAGCTATCACAGGCTATGAGCTCCTTCCTGGAACAGGCATTCTATGTTAAAGTCCTTCAGGCAGTTTGAGGTGGGAAGGTCGGATGCTCTTCCTGAGTCTTTTGAGCCTTTATTGTCTTCAGCTCAAAATAGTCTGCATACCAGAGTGGCACATCTTGGGGCGACCTGCCCTGAGCCCCATCAACACACTGAAGCCATAAAATGCCATAACAGTCCAATTCTTGGAGTGTCTACTGATTTCTTACTGAGAAATCTTCTCTAAAATCATAGACTATCAGAAACATTTCTGTTTGAAATTATTTCAGTAAGAATAAAACATCCCACTCTTGCCTGGAGGAGTTAAGTCATGGGACACAGTGACGCAGCCTTGATTCACAGTCCATGTGCACAGCTTCACATAGTGGATCTCTGGCCATAACATTTGACATCTGTTTTTGTTACCGGTGCATTGGGTCCTTGTGGTGCCAAAGATGGAAATCAAGAGAGACAATGAGCAAGAGTGAGAAGATTGAAAGTTTATTAGTTTGTGCACAAGGGAGCCAATCACAGAAAGGGAAGAAAAGAGAGAGAGAGAGAGGTGAGTTGCTCTCCTAACAGCCACACTGTGAGGTTCTTATCAGGCTGGGGCAGGGGATGTGTATTCTGTCATGGCATGTAGAGGTGGGGTCCTGTTTGCGCCTGTGCTGTTGTGTAGGATCTACTACATGTGATGCATGTATCCCTAGCATGCTAGCTCTCCACCCCTGGCTGTGATTTTTACTATGCTAATGGAGCTAGGGTCACCTCCAGCGGACTCCTGGGTGCTAGGATGCATGCGTAAGCCCGGGAAAGTCCAGAGGCATGGAATGTGGATCTTGGCGACCTCTATCTGATTCTCCCAGCTTGGTTAGGGGCCTTATCTTGTTAGGCCAGGGGCCTTGCAGATGGCCCTCTCTCCTTAGACTGGTTCCTATCTCAACTTAACTTCGTTTCCAAGAAAACAGAACCACAGGTCCATTTCACAGTCCAGAACTGATATTGACTCCTTTACACAAAGACCTACTTTGCTTTGAGCCCATCAAAACACTGCTTCATTTACATTGCACCTAAACCCACTCTTCTGCAAAATCCTATAATAACTCTCTCTTTTCCTTTCTTTGATCAAACATCCCACACTTCCTTTGATGTGCAGTCCCCTACATTCCCATGAGTCAGTAAACCTGACTTAGTTGATCTACAGGTTTGTGCCTCGTGTTCTTAGGCTGATCGGGGTAGGAAAAGACCAACGTTTGACTCCAACTTTGTGAGAGACCCTGAATGTGAACTGCTACCCAAGATGCTCCCGAATTCCTAACCCACAGAAACTGTGAGGAATAATAAATGTTGAGTGTTCTTTAAGCTGCTATATTTGGGGATAATTTGTTGTGTAGCAATAGATAACTAATATAGCTCCTGTGATCAAAATACTTCAGAGACTCCCAATTTTCTCAGAGGAAACGCAAAAGTCCTCCTGATGGCCTACAAGGCTGCTCATGTTCTGTTCACCCTCTTACTTCTGTAACTTCATCTTCTACCCCTCTCCTCCTTACCACCTCAGTTCCCGCTACAGTGACCTCTTTATCAGTCCTGGAATGTGCCCCAGGACCTCTGCACTCACCATTCTCTTGCCCCTCCCCCCACCTCTTTCAAGAATTTATCAGATGTCTCCCTTTGAGTGAGGTCTTCCCTAACAACCTTCCAAAAATGCAGCTTCCCGGGGAGCCAGCCCCATGGCTGAGTGGTTAAGTTTGCATACTCCGCTGCGGCGGCCCAGGGTTTTGGAGGTTTGGAACCTGGGCAAGGACATGGCACCACTTATCAGGCCACGTTAAGGTGGCGTCCCACATGCCACAACTAAAAGGACCTGCAACTAGGATATACAACTATGTACTGGGGGGATTTGGGGAGACAAAGCAGAAAAAAAATATATATTGGCAACAGTTGTTAGCTCAGGTGCCAATCTTTAAAAAAAGAAAAATGCAGCTTCCCTACCTACACCCACACCCATGCTCACTCTCCAGTCTCCCTCCCTCTGTTTTTTTCCTTAGATGGTATTACTATTTAATATACCTATATATGTTGCTTATCATCTGGCTCCCCTCATTGAGTTGGTGCAGAGATTTTTGTCTATTCTCAATGTTGAGAGCAGTGTCTGGGTTATAGTGCACACTCCATAAAGACTAGTCAAATGAATACATGAATGTTAAGGATGTAAGGATACCTAATTAATAGTAACTTTAAAATGCCTCAGTCATAGACCTTTTGTGACCCACTCCAACTTTATAAAGCTGCTTCTAAAATTTACTGCTAGAAAAAGCTTTTCTTTTCTAAATAACTGTTTCACAGAAATAGCAGTTAAACAGCAAAGTATCCTAACCAACTGTTTGCCTTTTTCCTTGTGAAACTCTGGCCAAATTGAAAGTCAATTATAGTAATTATATGGGTCTTTAGAGGCTGTACCTTTTGTTTCATCTTGACTTTTTCTCTTATTTTTAAGTTCCCTGTTTTGTACCCTCTATTCCTATTATTTCATTGTTTGTTGTCATTCTGTTTTGAAGACTTTATGAAATTCATATAAATAAGTAAAATAAATAAATAGTGTTTTCTTAAACTCAGAACAGGTGATTAAAACTATCATTGGTTCAGCATATTATATGTACAGAATTGTGAACTTTTTTTTTTGAGGAAGGTTAGCCCTGAGCTAACATCTGCTGCCAATCCTCCTCTTTTTGCTGAGGAAGACTGGCCCTGAGCTAACATCCATGCCCATCTTTCCCTACTTTATATATGGGACACCTGCCACAGCATGGCTTGACAAGCAGTGTGTAGGTCCACATCTGGGATCTGAACCCGTGGACCCAGGGCTACCAAAGCAGAATGTGCAAACTTTTCTGCGCCACCAGGCCAGCCCCAGAATTTTGAACTTTTTAAGGAGCAAAGCTTTAATATTTTACGAATTCTTATTTTAAAAAATCAATAAAAGGTAGTAGTTTTATTATTCATCAAGGTAAACTTTATTGCAGGATATTTTACATGAAAAATATGCTTTGGGTCAGGACATGAACATTTATTTCAACATAAAATCATGAATTCTCAGTACCATAGCATATTTTTCCAAATTTCAGGCTGTTCTTGGAAAATTTTGTTTGCTTCCATGATATAATAAAACCTTCCTGAAAATTATTTGTGTTAAACTGATTCCTTCTTTTCCAAAAAACACAGAAAGAGTTCTTTTAAACACTAAAGGGCGTGATTATACTACCTAATAAATCAGCAGATTTTTTTCTGCCTTCACACAATTCATAATGTCTCCTTGTATACAGAGATCCTCAAAATGGGGAGCAAAAGTACATACCCTGCAGAATCCCCTATGATCATTTAGCAAGGAGGGGTAGTCTAGATTTTTTAAAGCTCCTACATCCATACATACCTCAAAGGGTCATAAAATGATAGTTGTTTAGAGATTACATCTGGGAAATATTGGTTTTGATTCCATAGAAAAGAACAAAAGAGTACTTGACAGTAGATGTCTCACTTTATAAATGCTTCTCTTGATTTAGTGAATGGCCAAAAAAGACAAACAAAAAAAATGTATATATATATCTTACCGTGTTTAAATATGATGAGGTATTTGATGTAGTGGGTGTACTTCACCCAGCTGAGGAAATAGTGTTAACTGCCACAAAATAATCACAAACTTAAAATAATATTTTTGTAGATTTTATTTTTAGAACAGCTTTAGATTTATAGAAAAATTACTCAGATAGGCCAGAGTTCCCGTATATCTCCTCTCTCCCCTCTCATAGTTCCCCTGTTATTAACATGGTACAGTAATTTGCATCATTACACATTAATGATGTGTTGCATAATCACAATTGATGAACCAATATTAATACATTATTATGAACTAAAGTTTATAGTTTACCTTGGGGTTTACTCTTTAGGTTGTACAATTCTGTGGGTTCTGACACATGTATAGTCTCATGTATCCACCATCACAGTATCACACAGAATCATTTCACTGCCCCTGCAGTCCCCTGTGCTCCACATATTCACCTCTCCTCTCCTCCCCTTGAACTTCTGGCAATCACTGATCTTTTTACGGTGTGCATAGTTTTGCCTTTTCCAGAATGTCATATAGTTGGAATCATATAGTATGTAGCTTTTTCAGATTGGCTTTTTTCACTTAGCAATAAGCATTTAAAGTTCCTCCTTGTCTTTTTGTGATTTGATAGTTCATTTCTTTTTATTTTTAAATAATATTCCATTATATGGATGTACCACAGTTTGTTTATCCCCTCAACTCTTGAGAGACACCTTGGATGTTTTTAGCAATTATGAATAAAAATGCTATAAACATTTGTGTTCACATAAGTTTCAATTCATTTGGGTAAATAC